TCATTTAGTAGACCGAATTTCCACTACAAAAAAATATTTATTTTGGTATATATGTGATTCTACAAGCAAATGCAAAGTGATTGCATTGCAAATGGTGTACTATGGGTAAACATACATCTCAGATAGAGAGAGTGGGTGTTGGGCCCCACAGGGATCTTTGAGTCAAGTAAAAACATTTAGCATGTGTATTTATATGAGTATTTGGTATTTGAATTGGTTTTTGACCACTCTTGTGTAATTTGTGCATTTTAGGGGCTTAAGGTCCATTTTGGAAAATAGCACTCAAGTGATCAAATTTTGTTATAAGGGGTTTTAATCTCATTTGAATGTTCTATTAGGTGCTCCAAGTCCTATTTGATGTGTCTAAAGTGTTCCCACAAGTTTGTGACCTTTAGGATGAGATTTAGATAATTTTAAAAATGGGTTTTATCAAAAAGCTACACTTTTACATCTGGATGTTCAAATTTCAATCCGACTATTGGAATTTTCTTAAATTTGGTAACAAGTAAAAAAATTTATAACATTCATGTGGGCTTTGAAATCACCTTGATTGAATATCGAATAGATAAACGGCACACTCTAACAGTTGGTCTGGAGGTGCTGTCATGACAGCAATAGTTGCTGAGGTTGGGACACGCACATGTTTCAATCCGTTCATTAGATCTTTTCAAAATTTGATATACTAGTAGTATTCTTTGAAAGTGACATGTGGGATTTGAAATTGCTCCAATCATAGGTCAGATGATGAAATGATACACTCCAAAAGCTGGTTTAGAGGTGCTGTCATGACAGCAAAACTACCAAACTTGTAACATGTTCAAATTTTAATCCGACCATTAGATATTTTTGAAATTTAGGACACTACTAGTTCTCATTAAAAGAGACATGTGAGATTTAAAATTACTTTAATTGGAGGCTAGATGGTGAAACGGCGCCTCCCGAAAGTTTGCTTGGGAGGGCTGTCATGATAGCAAAATTAATGCTGTCATGATAGCAATAAATTATCCCTATTTGCCCAATTTGCTTCTGTGTGCTACATATTATCCTTTAGACTTTTCTAAAAGGTTTTATATGTATGTTTTGCTATTGTATAAATTATTTAGTGATTTAAAGGATTTATTTCCTAAGTTGGTTTTAGGATCAATTTCTTAATCACACTTAGTTTATTAGTTGTTGTGTACTTTTGGTAACACTCGGGGCAAGTATTGTAGAATGGTACTTGATAATAATAAAGCAAACTTCTTCATTGGTGTAAAATGACTAATAGGGTTCATAGTTAGTAAGCATTTTTCACATAATAGTGAGCTCGCCAGATAAAGAAAGAAAATTTCATAAAAATAAATGAAGGACAATTTTGGTAATGCAATTACTAAGATGTTATGTATTCATTACAAATTTAATATCTAGTGAATATAAACAATTTCATGATTGTTTGGAAGATTTCAAGAGGAGAGGCAAAGAGCCAAATGCTAGGCAACCCCAAAATTGATAGGCAAACCGTTTTAAGTGTCACCCTTCACTGTGCTCCTTCACCATTCCTTTTTTCCTTTCTCCTTTTCTTCCTTTTCCTCTCACCTCATCTCTTCTCTCTTACAGCTCTGCCTTTAGCATTTTAAGCCTTTTCTATCCTGCAATTTTGTGCATCTTTACTATCTATGCTTCCTCCTTTTAACATTGAGCTCTACTTGCATAATGAACAAAGGACAAGGATGTCATTTGATTTTACATGGCCAAGCACAGTGTTAGTGCAAACTTTCCCTTTAATACCATAAGCAGAAAGGACAACTCTCAAAATAGCAAGCTCAAATGACACAATGATATCAATGAATAAACCACATAGGCCCTTTCATTTACTAGTCCATAAGCCTAAAATAAACAAACAATAAGTCCCAAACCTCTACATTATAACAAAAAGGAGTATGTCAAATCTAATTCTAGCAAATGGCAATAAGTCAACTATGCTTGTCTCCATTGACTTATAATATTATACAACTCCCGCTTGAAGATTCCTTTTTTATGTTATTTAATACACCATTGCTTGATTGAAACTGCTTTCCCTTCCTTTTCATTCATTCTTTTCTTTTCTTTTTAATAAAACTATCTTGTCCCATATATTTTAGGTGGCACGTCTTAATAAATCATGGTTCAACCACTTATGCATCCTTTCATTCTCTCTACATCAATTAACTTTCAATCTCCACCTTTCTCCTTTTTTTACTCTAATTTTTTTTAACTCCTTTTACTTATTGTTGTTGTTGTTGTTATTGTTGAACTTTTAAGATCTCATAGTATCTTAATATCTCTCCAGAAATCTTTAGCATCTATGCTTCCTTCATTCAACATTCAGCTTCGCTCGTGCGATGAACAAAGGACAAGGATGTCATATGATTTTGCATAGTGTTTAGGTTTCTATTTAGAGCCCGAACACACCCAAAAGAAGTTAGAGCCAGGTTTGACTATATGAGCTTTTTTAAGAGAGTAAGATACTTTAAGCTCAACTCGAATAAGCCCGACCTGAATTAAGCCCGACCCGAATAAGCCCAACAATTAGAATTTCTGACTCTATATGTATATAGAGTTAGTAATTTTGGCCAAGCTTGACAGGCTAGCTTGAACTCGGCCAAAAAAAAGTTATGTCTAGGCTTGATTATATGGACTTTTTTAAGTCGGTAGGATACTTTAAGCTTGGCTTAAATTGAGCCAAACCTGAATAAGTCCAACAACTGGACTTTCTAACTCTATATGTATATAGAGTTAGTAATTTTGGCCAAGCCCGACGGGCTAACCCGAACTAGGCCAAAAAAAGTTAAGCCCGAGCTTGGCTATATGTGTTTTTCTTTAAATGATAGGATACTTCAAGCCCTCCCCAAATTACCAACTCTATTTCCATTGTCAAAAAAGTTACTAATAGGATTTTTATAACAGATTATTACTAAGAATAATAAGAAAAATTATTCAATTATGCCTTGTTATTATGAGGTAGAGAATGATTAATGGTTAGCTAGATTGATCACATATGAAATTCTTGTAATTATTTTATGTTATAAAAGTTATTAGTATTTATTACACATTAATAATGGTCCAAAATGACTATTAACAATGTTGTTTAAAAATACTTATTTATGGTTAAAATTATTTCCTCTTATTAAAATACTTATTTTAGATAGTCTAAAAATTCTACATAAAATTTATTTTTAAGAAAAGAAGGGGAAACATTTAACCATTTGAGGAGAACATAAAAATATAACCATTTATTTATTGATAAAAATATGGAGAAGATTAAATCAAAAGATATTTAACAAAAAATAAAATAATACATGTTTATAATTAAATTATACACTTAATTATATTCATTTAAAAAAGAGAATAAAATTTAAAAATTGTTTAAAATGTTTATAAGAAAAGTATTTTTTTGGTTTCATTTTAAATTCATTTTCCCAACAAAATAATATTTTCTAGTAAAAAATTGATTTATTAAAAATATAATATAAATAGTCATTTATATAATTTTATGAAATTAATAATTGAAAATAAAATAAAATATTTGTATATCTTTCTTTGAATTTTTTGTGCATTTTTTCTTGCAATTTCTATGCATTTTTTTGTAAAATCTCTGTGCAATTTTTTTATATTTATTTTGTATAAATGATAGGGTTTGGTGTGGTTTCAGCCTAGCTGTTGATACTTACTTTAGGAGTGGGTATGTGTTACTAGCAATAAATATAACACTCTACAAAGATTTGATTAGCAGGGGAGTTCATAGTTCAAGTTAGGAGAGTGGTGACGTTGGCTAGGTTATCCCTCTAACATTAGAGAGCTTGGATTAGTCTGGTTATATGAATAGGTCCTGTTATGAATTGTAGCCCAAGCTATTTTCCAGTTTTATGAGTTGATGAATTTTTCTATAAAAATAAAATATTATATTTTATGACAAATTCATTATTTTTATGACAAAAAGGAATTAATGAAAACCAATAGTGAAATCATCACATGGCTCTACTACTGGGTGAAGGTATCTTGAAAGAAGCAAGCCTATCAACAATACTAAGGTTTGTTATGAAATTATAATATTTATATTCTTCCTAGGTGAAGAACTTGAAGTTGTTCTTTTCATTAGGACCCATAATATAAATCAAAAGGTCTAACTTTTAAGAGATGGGATTTTCACTTCTCTGGTACAACACGGTGCTTTAGGCTTCTGAACCTCCCATTTGTCATCACTTGCATATATATTTACATCCAAATTACAAACCAAAATAAAATATAAAATAAATACGTTAAAATAGAATATAAATTAAGGTCATAGTTGAGCAGAAAAAGAAACATTATGGCGTTATCTTATTTGTCCAAGGGTAAGAGATGTTATTAATCTCGGTTGATGTTGGGGAAGGATCTCATAATGGTTGATATATACAATGATAGAGATAAACAAGCAGTGATGGAAGGAAAATATGTATCTCTAGCAAGTCACAGATGATGATGAATAAGGAAGTAGAATCAGGAGCAATTGAAAACTAGTTGTGATCAATCTTAATTTCAAGACCTGGTTGAAAGCATGCATGCATGATACTCTCGTGCATAATAACTATTCATGTGGGCTCATGCATGATATGCGACATAACTAAATCACGTGATTGTAGGGATTTAGATATTATTATTTTAATTATAAATATCATGGGATCATAGGAGATATCTTAGGCAGAACATACGCGAGGATTACGATTGCGTCTTACTGTATATATACATGCTGTGTGCAGCCTATGTTTTTTAAATGAAAATATTCCTCCATTAACAAAGTCTTCATGGTATCAGAGCAGAGGTCCTGAATACCTCGTTTATGTTCAGCCATGATTGAAACTGATGAAGCCAAGAGTGGTGCCGATAGGAAGAACAGAAGCGACACGTCATCTCCTTATTACTTACACCCATCTGATAACCCAGGGCAAGTTTATATAAGTGAGTTGCTTAATGAAGGCAACTATGCAGAGTAGGTGAACGACATGGCGAACGCTCTCTTCGGTAAGAACAAAATAGGAATTGTTGATGGAACACTATCGATGTCGTCTGTTGACTCGTCGGAACTCAGTGCATGGATGCATTGCAATGCAATGGTGAAGGGCTGGTTAAAGAGTTTGATGGTCAAGGATGTTTGTATTAGCGTACGTTACGTTAAGAGTGCTCGTGTGATATGGACAGATCTTGAGGAGCGATTCGGAAAAGGTAATGTGCCTCATGTATATGAACTCCGAAGGCAGGTAGCGATGATGCGACAAGATCGATCTTCAGCACCCACTTACTACACCAAGCTGAAAAGCTTACGGGATGAAATAGAGACGATCATCCCAATGCCTAAGTGCGAGTATGGTAAATGCACGTGTGATATTGGAAAGCAGCTTATTGAAATAAAGGAATGAGATCGCTTGTACGAGTTTCTCATAGAACTAGATGAGGCATCTAACACCATTAAAACTTAGATTCTTAATATAAAACCCACACTAAGGTTGGGACAAGCATACCACCTGGTTGCAGAGGATGAACAATAAAGGCAAGTTTCAGCTATGCAGAGGCTTGTGATCGAAAGTGCAGCGTTTCAGGTACGTACTGATAAAGCATCCAGAGATGGAAAAAGAGAAAATCCTAAATGCAGTCATTGCCAAAAGTTGGGACATACAGAAGATTGATGTTACGAGTTGATTGGGTTCCCTAAAGATTGGAAGAAAGGGAGTCGTGACAAATGAGAAAGGCGGACAAACTGGGGTGAGAAAAAGTGTATGCCACGTGCTGCACAGGTGAGCAAAATTGAGAGTCCTATTCTAGGATTGACAACTGATTAATATGAACACCTTCTATAATACATCAACCAAGAAATAGATGTCAATAAGGTTAAAAGTGGACCACGAACCAATATGGCAGGTATGGTGAATTCTAATAATAGCTGGGTGATTGACACAGGGGCAACCGACTACATAGTTTGCAACCCAACATTGTTGCATAACATTTTAAAGGATTTAAATCAGCCTCTAATGCAAATTCCTAATGGAGATAGTATGCAAGTGGTAGGCATTAGGTAGGCTACAATAAATGATCATTTACAGCTACACAAATTTCTATATATCCCAGATTTTAAATGCAATTTGTTGTCTATAATGAAGCTGCTAAAACAATATGATTATATGTGATTCTTGTGTGTAATATTTGTCTTATCCAGGACTACAGATCGAGGACCCTAATTGGAGTGGCTAGAGAATAGGATGGGCTATATATGTTCAAGTCATAAATGTCATAAAAAGCAACCATGCATGTGCGAAGCGTGATGAAAGTGGAAACACAATGGATCTACAGGTTTGGTATCATCGAGTCGGGCACCCTCCTGAAGACAAAATGATCAAAATGAGTTTCATTTCAAATGCTTTCAATAATAAGCTCTTGGCACACTGTGATTCTTGTTTAAGAGCATGACAGACACGTCTTCTATTTCCTTCTAGTTCAATAAAAACCTCTTCTTATTTTGACATGATCCATTGCAATATATGGGTGGATATAAAGTACCATCTTTGTCAGGTGCACATTACTTCCTCACCATTGTAGATGACTTTAGTCGAACTGTTTGGTCTATCTCATGAAGTGTAAGTCAGATGTGAAAACATATTTACCAATGTTCTTAACCATGATAGAAACACAGTATGGGGCACGAGTGAAAACAATTCGCACAGATAACGGCTTAGAATTCCAGTCCAGCTTCATGCTTGCATTGTATGTTGAGAAGGGCATCACACTATAAACCACATGCCCATATACCCTACAGCAAAATAGGGTAGTGGAATGTAAATATCGATATATATTGGAGGTAGCTCGAGCATTACATTTTCAAGCAAGCTTACTAATGTCATTTTGGGGAGAGTGTGTGTTGACAGCTGTGCACCTTATCAATTGCCTCCCGTCGAGGGTGTTGCATCATAAAACACCATATGAGGTGCTACTTAGTAAGACACCAACATATGAACACTTACGTTGAGTAAATGTCTAGGGTGTATTTACGTTGACTAGGCATGAACCCCTCACTAGATCGGGCAACTTCAATGCTTAAGAAGTACTTTAGCTTCCCCAGGTCTTTGATGTTGAATCGCTGATGGAGGAAAGTCTTTACACTCTGTATGTGAGCCTCATTATTACCTACTAATAAAACATCATCCATATAGATAAGGGTTGCTATGAACCGCTCCCCTTGTCGATAAAGGAAAAAAGAATGGTCGGCAGAGGAATGTACAAAACCATATGTAAGAAGGGCATCTGTGAATTTGCGATACCAATTTCGAGAAGCTTGTCACAAACCATATAGAGACTTTAGTAATCGACACATCTTGAGTGGTCCAGAATGATGGAAACCCTACGGGATCTTAATACATACTTCCTCATCGAAGTCGCCATGGAGAAAAGCATTGTTCACTTCGAGTTGGTGGACAAACCAATTTATCTTAGCAGCAAGAGCAAGAATGCACCATACGATCACAAGTTTAGCAATCGGAGCAAATGTCTCATGAAAGTCGATGCCCTGTTGTTGAGTAAATCCTTTTGCTATGAAGCGAGCCTTATATTGCTCTACCTCTCCTGTGGGTTTATACTTAACTTTGTATACCCATTTTGAGTCAATAGCATGTTTGCTAGGTGGGAGATCGACAATCGATCATGTAATATTCTGTTTAAAAGCCTTGATCTTACATGCCATGGCCTCACACCAATGTGCATGGCGGACTGCTTCTGTAAAATGCTTGGGCTCATCTTGCTTATCAATTGCTGCCAAGAATGCTTTGTACGAGGAAGAGAAACGCACATTAGAAATAAAATTAGTAAGAGGGTGTGCAGTGGAGTTACCTGATACAAATATCGAGATCCCCAAAGAGGGTAGAGTAGGATGAGACAGATAGGCTAAAGAAGTTGGAAGGTCGAGGTCATAATCTCTTAGATGGCTTGGTGCTCGCCTAGTTTGTTGACTACAATAAACTACGTCAATCTGTTCAACTTCTATAGTAAGAAGACAATCAACTGACTGCTCAATACTCGACACAGCACCAGTCTCACTAAGAGAAGAATGACTAGTAAGTGGTGCCTTTGATGCACGTGCTACCTCCTCATCATCAATAATGGCACCATGGGCAGGTGGCTTACTAACTGAAGTTGTAGTCTCGGTTTGTAAGTTCTGGAAGGGAAACTGAGTCTCTAAGAAAACCACGTGGCATGATACATAGACTTCTCCACTACGGATATCGTACAAGCGATATCCCTTTTAGCCAGTGGGGTATCCGATGAAGACACACGCTCTCCACATTCATCAAACTTATCTACAATTCTTGAGTTGTGTGCATATGCCAAGCACCCAAAACTATAGCCCTTATCTATGTGGATGATGTTTTATTGGTAGGTATTAATGAGGCTCACATGCAGAGTGTAAAGACTTTCCTCCATTAGCGATTCAGCATCAAAGACCTGGGGAAGCTAAATTACTTCTTAGGCATTGAAGTTGCCTGATCTAGTGAGGGGTTCATGCTTAGTCAATGCAAATACATCCTAGACATTTTGAAAGATAGTAGAATGATAGGGTGTAGACCATGCTATACTCTCATGGAACAAAGTTGTAGATTAAAACCCACAAACGAAAACCTTTTTGTTGATGAAGGACGATATTGTTGATTGTTGGGAAGACTCCAATACCTCACCATCACATGTCCTGACATCACCTATGCTGTTAATGTATTAAGTCAGTTTAGTGGGTCACCACATAAGATCCACATGGACGCTGCAGAACACATCCTCCACTACTTGAAAGCGACTCCAGGACAAGGAATTATTTTGAGAAGCTCTGGTTTATTGGGGCTTATTGCATACTGTGATGCTGATTGGGCAAGCTGACCAATGACGAGGAGGTTGTGTACTGGATACTTTGTTAGTCTTGACAGTTCTCCAATCTCATGGCACTCTAAGAGACAAAGTGTTGTGTCTAAATCATCCGCAGAGGCAGAATATCGTGTAATGGCTTGTACTGTGAGTGAAGTAGTTTGGTTGAGATGGTTGCTCAAATAACTAGGTATTCGTTACTCAGAAGCTACTCCTCTTTATTGTGACAATCAGGCTGCATTTCATACAGCAGCAAACCCCGTCTTTCATAAGCAAACTAAGCATGTCGAAATGGATTGCTACTTCATTCGCAAGCGGATACAGTCCAAGGAAATATCCCCACGAAAGATTTGGACAAAGCATCAGGTGGCTGACATATTTACAAAGGCTTAGATCAGGGAATGCCATAATAATCTGACTAGCAGATTGGGTGTTACGGACCTTCACACTTCAACTTTAGGGGGAGTGAAAGCATGCATGCATGATACTCTCGTGCGTAATAACTATTCACATGGGCTCATGTGTGATATGCGGCATAACTAAATCATGTGATTGTGGGGATTTATATATTATTATTTTAATTGTAAATATCATGGGATCACAGGAGATATCTTAGGCAGAACATACATGAGGATTACGATTGCGTCTCACTATATATACGCATGCCGTGTGTAGCTTATGTTTTTTGAATGAAAATATTCTTCTATTAACAAAATCTTTACTGGCATGTTGTTTGATGTCGTCAATGACATCATGTGTGGGTCTGTATGTTCCCAAAAAATGGTAAGTCATTATTCAGTCCCATTATTAATGGATAAAAATTGATGCGAAAGAAACTATTATTGTTTTCGTGGCTTAGAAAGTTGCTGAGGGCATTTGTTGGTTTGGCCCCTTGCCCTTTCCCCATAAGTCATAGAACTTCAAAACATATCTTATTTGCTTTAGAAATATACTCATCCATAGCTAACTTGCAAATTCACCATATATCTAGTCATGTTTATTTTACTAAAGAGAAAAGGATAGGGGAAAACAAGCATTATACCTGAAAGCATCTGGTATTTTCTTGGAAATGGGGAGAGAATAGAGCATAATATACTCGATTCAACTAATATAGTCATGACGGCTAATTTTGTTACTAGTATAGGAAAAGGGGTGGGGAGGCCAGCTTTTTTTTTTAACAAGTTGAAGAAGTGCAAAGAACTTCAAAGCATAGGTTTCAAGCTTAGAGAAGAGTTCAAGTAGAATGTCATGATTAATAACCTTAACGATGCTAATGTCTTGGCAGGCTTTAATAATGGACTGGGGGTGCTTGAGGGTCCGTTAGTTCAATTTCAGTAATATCATTCAATGGTTTTAGTGGCCTCCATGAGTTAGGAAGGATAGACTTGTTGAGTTGGGAGGGCTTGAAAACATCCATGTTTTAGCCTTGCATGGATGGTTCAAAAAGAGTTTAGGGTAGTCTAAAGGTTAAGAGAGAAATATTGAAATGTGATGATAAACATCTTGATTCATTCATCTGAAG